GCCAGGAAGGCCGGTGGTGGGTGAGAGTATAACGGGGTCCCCCACCCCTCCGGCCAGGCGGATCTACCCCCACCGACTTGGGTTTCTTTCCAGAGCAGCGGGCTGCAAGGGGCCTTCCCTGCTCCAGAGAAAGTCCAGAGGGGCTTCCTGGGCAACCTTATTCGTGGAGCGAGGGGCGCCGAGCGCTTGCAGGACGGCGGGGGGTGGGGGGGCCTCTTTAGGTCCAACCCTCCCAACCACCCACCCCGAGGAGCCAGCCTCTTTCGAGCCGGACTGAGCTGCTGCCTGCAACGCGCCAAACGCAATTCGGGAGCCTAAAAGTCGCTCCGCGTTGTGGTTTCCCCGGGGATCTGCGCCCCTCCCTTGTTATTCTGGGGTGTTAGAGAGATAGCGAGGAGCGGGGACAGGACTTGCTTTTTTATTGCAAGAAAAAATCTCGGTTTTGTTTCAGTTTTGAGGTCTACGGGCGTTTTCTTCCGGCCTTCCAGGCGCCCAAGGATTATATAACGAAGTTATTGCCCCCCAAACTTGGGGGGAGGGGAGGGAGAGCATCGCTTGGAGACCCTTGAAAGTGGCGGTTGCTGTCCGTTTCTGTCTCTGGTTCCCATCCCCTCGAGGATAGACTGCCTTTGTTCAGGGAGGCTCGAGCAAGTTATCGCTCGGCCAAGCGCTTCTTTTCTAACCCAAGCTGTCCTGTGAATCCATGGGTCAACGGGTGTGTGTGTGTGTGTGTGTGTGTGGGAAGGGAGGGGCAAAGATGCGGGAAAGGGCTTTTCAAGGCTGGGGGTAGCAAAAGAGTGGGGAGGGGCTCGGCCAACGTAAACCTTTGGCCCGAAGTTTCAAGAATGCGGTCCCGTGCAGCTCCGGGCATCTTTCCTCGGAAGTAACTCGCCTTCCGTCCCAGGCCTGGGTAGCAAGAACTCCACCCTCGCTTTTAATTGCAACCAAGGTTTACTGGGCAAGAGATTCCGGCGGGATCCGCGGGGACGCGGCTATCCTGCTTTGTGGCCTTTCCCTTTGGGGAGGGGGAGGGAGGGAGGGAGGGAGGGAGGGGGCTTCAGCATCTCTTCCCGACCCCACCTGGGAACAGCTGCAACTGTGAGCCCCCGGGCGCCTATACACGCGTCCGTTGGAGGCGCTGCACCGAAGCCCCGCACCTTCCCCAGACGCTGCCCCTCCCCCCTCCCCTCCCCTCCCCCGCGTGCTTTATTTTTGCTGAATTAAGAAGGTGACATTATCCTCCCCTTCAAGTACTTCTGTTAATATTGAAAAACGTGCGTTCGCATCTCAAGCGGCCTCGCTGAGGCTCCGCCGCCATTTCAATATTAATGAAATTGTTTAATCTCCTAAATTCGTCGTGTTTAAGTTACGTTTCGGCGAGTTATTGACCAGCGACAAAAATGTGGTTAATGGGGTGTGTGTGGACGGGTGAGTGTGGGCGAGTGTTAAAAGAAAAGGAGGGGTGTGTGTGTGTGTCGGAGTGTGTGTGTGTGGGGGGGGGTCCCGGGGGGGGGGGGGGGGGCGGTTTCTTTCTGGCCGTCCATTCGCAAGACGCCGGGTTTACACGGAGCCCAGCGAAATCTCCGGCCTGATTTAGCTGCAGAATCGGGCCCTTCCTACGGCCTTTCCGAGTAGGCGCAACCCCCCTCCCTCTGCGCGCATTTCCGCGGGCGACTTTTCCCCCCTCTGGGTATCTTATCTCTGCCTAAGGTGGGGGGGTAAGAAAGGCAGCGCCGTCCCACGCCCCCCCCCCCCCCCCCTTTTTTGCCCCCCCGGGGGGGGGGATACAAGACGCCCCCCCCCCCCTTCCCAAGGGGGATCGCCCCGGGGGGGGGGGCGTGCAATCCTTCCCTCGAACCCTCCACCCCAACCTTCTGTCCCCCCAGATAACCGCCCTGTGAGGTGAGCGGTTTAGGAATGAGCGAGCGGTTCCAAATCTCCACACCCCACTTCCACAGGCGTGGGGAAACGGGTCCCCGAGACTCCAGGGCCTCACCTTCTCCGAGGGGGCGTTTGGGCACAGATCGCGGTGCCTTCAAGTGGCGCGGAGTTCCACTTGAGACCATTTCGGGAAAAGCCGGCAGGTTTGATTCGGTTAATCTTTGGCTAGGCTTGGAAAGGGCACCACGAAGGAGACACCTTCCCCTCCTCCTAAGCTCTCCGTGGTCCTCCCTCCGTCCCTCCCTCCCTCCCTTCCCCGCTAGCCAGAGAGGGCTGCGCTGCCCGCTTTCCTCATTAAGGCGCCCGTGTTCCCAAGGCTTCTAGGCGAGATCAAGGAGACGTAAGAATGCCTCTTTTTTTAGACGCGTTTTAAACCGTTCGGGCATTTTTGCAGTTCTTGGTGGAATTTTAACTGGGAAAAAAGACAGGCAAAAAAATTAAATAAATAAAGCTCAGGGTTGGAAAAGAGATCGGGGCTGGGATGGTTTTGGGGAGGGGGGTCCTTCGCCCCCCCCCGCCCCACTGAAAAGACGGTTCTCCCCTGAAGGTTTTGGTCAGGCTGCTTTGAGCCGGGGACCTGATCCCCAAGAGCAAAAGGCTTAGACAGGAGGTGCGGGCGAAGAATACCCATTCTAGGGAGCCTCCCAGCCCCTTCTCCCTTCACGAGGACTAGAACCTTAGCGAAAACCCTCGACGTTCGTGTGGAGAACGTCGGAGCGCGAAGTGCCGTCCCAGAGAGCCGTTGCTTCGAAACTAAGATAGGGTGGCGGCGCTTCAGGTGAACGGCCCCATCCCACCGGCCCGCCTAGGCGATTCATCGCTGGCTGAGCACCTAAGAGGGCCCCGCTCAGGCCGCCTCGGGAGGCGGGGATTTGCTCACCTCTTGGGCATTTAAGGCCATCGGGAAAAGCGGCTTGACTGCCCGCCTGGCCTCCCTGGAAGGCGGCGGGGAAGAGCGGCGGAACGGGGGAGTGGAGAGGCTGGCCTAGCGCTGGCGAGGAATCCGGGCAGCCGGATTCCGCTCCCGTCCCCGTCCAGCTGTTAGCTGCTGCTGGCCTGGCTGGCCCTCTCTGGGTCGGGTCCTGCCCACGTGCCTCTCCCGAAGCGCCGGCGGGAAAGGGGACCTGGCAGAGGGGAGGCCGGCTCCAAGGCGACGGCGCTGCCTGGCTCTCAGTGGCGTTTTTCCCGCTGCTAACTTGGCATCTTTACGCAGCAACCCCGGGTGTCAAGAAACGCGGCTTTCCCCGCTCACTTCGCCTCGGACTCTCGGCAGAGACCGAAGAACCGGGTCCCCGGCCCCCCCCCCCCCCCCCCCCCCCCCCCACTCCCCGCTCCCGTGGGAAAAAATGGGTAGGGGAGACATGCAACCGTTCAACCGAGGAACGGCTGTCCCGGCCCGGCCCGCTTCCTCTGCGCGACCCCCGCGCACCCGGCCTCCCATCCTGAAGCAAAGCGGGCAGCGCCGGAGGCTGAACTTCCTTCGCCCTCCTGGAAGGCGCCCCCTTCTTCCCACCGAAAGGACTTGGGCCGCAGGGGGAGCCCCAAGTGGGGGCCCCCGTGAAGTTATCCCCGCCGCTGCCCTGCGCTTTCTTGGGAAAGGTAGGCCGGCGCGGCGGGGTTCTGGCCCAGAGGAGCCTCTGCAGCTGGGGGTGGCCAAGGCGCCCCTCCCGCCGATAAGTCGGGCTCCCCCAGCAAAGCTGCCGCCCACCTCGCTGAGTAGCAGCTCGGATTCTAGCGGCGTCGCCAGGCGGGCGAGAGGACAGCTTCTTGGGCGCAAAAGCCGGGCAGGCCGGTTGGTTGGCGGCCGCAGCTCTTCCTGGGGGACGAGGCTGGTCGCCCGCCCCCCACCTTTGCCGGCTCAAAAGCGCTTCCCATTGCCCCCCCCCCCGCCTGCCAGGGAGGGGGAAGCGGCGGGGCTGGAAGCAGTGACCCCCTCCGCGCCGGCCCCGGAGCCCCGCCCCTTCCCCCCTCCCAGGCGGGTGTCATCGCAGAGCGAAGAAAGTGGCCCATTCGCGCGGCGCCTCGACGGGGGCCTTTTCTGCACCAGCCCCCGCCTGCCAAGCTCAGATGGTCGGCAAGCGGCAGGAGCAGGAGGAGGAGGAGGAGGAGGCGGCGGCCGCGCCAGCGCTGGGCACGGCCGAGGTTGCTTAGCCCGGCGGCGGCTGCGGAGAGTCAGAAAGGGGCTGCCGGGTCTCTCGCCCCACAGCCCTCGCCCCCTGCCCGGGAAACCGGGAGCCCTGGCCGCCAAGAGCCCCGGCCCGGCCCGCAGAGAGGAAGGCTCCGGGCAGAGTCCGCCGGCTGACCCCGCTCGCTCGCGGCACCTGTGAAGTGAGTGCCCGGGGCGGGAGGGCTGGACGGGGGCGGGAGGGGGGCTGGTCTTTCCCCTTGGCGGGCTCCTGGGGGAGAGGGAGGTCCGGACGGTGCCCCCGCACACGCACACACAGGCGCTGCGGTTGGCGCGGGACCTGGTTACGGGGAGGGGCGAGCCGTTACAAATTGGGAGCGCCGGGAAGCCGTCGGGAGCCCGCGGAGGGGAGGGGAGGGATCGGGCGGGGGGTGCGCTTAAAACGGAAGGGAGAGCCAGCGAGCGGCCAGGCGGCTTGCGCCCAGTGCCCGGCTGCTGCGGCTCGGCGGAGGTCTCGGCTGGCCGGAGGAAAGCGCCGCCCCCGCCGGAGGAGCCTGCCCTTCGGCGTGCCAGAGGGGCGGGTAGCCAAGAAAGGGGAGGACCCGGGTGCAGTCCCGCAGAGGTGGTCCCGGGGCTGTCTGCCGGCCAGGCCGGGTTGGAGGTCGCCTCCGCTGGGCTCGCCCCTCCCGCCGAGAGGCCGCCCCTCCCCCCCCCCAAAAAAAACCTGCCGCGCCCAGCCCGGGGAGGGAAGTGGCCGCTCTTCCCGCCCCTCCCCAAAGAGAGTGAGCCAGCTTTGCCCAAGGGGAGCGCACCGCGGAACCTGGCCAGGACGCGCCCCTCCCCGCCCCCCCCCCCCGCCTCCGCCTCCTCCCCCCTCGCCCAGCCCGCTAATTCCGCCTCCCTGCGCTGCAGATCCCGGCCGGCTCCGCCGCCGCCGCCGCCGCCTCTTCCACCATGCCCCGTCCGGGCCGCAACACGTACAGCGACCAGAAGCCGCCCTACTCGTACATCTCGCTGACCGCCATGGCCATCCAGAGCTCGGCCGAGAAGATGCTGCCGCTGAGCGAGATCTACAAGTTCATCATGGAGCGCTTCCCCTACTACCGGGAAAACACGCAGCGCTGGCAGAACTCGCTGCGCCACAACCTCTCCTTCAACGACTGCTTCATCAAGATCCCGCGCAGGCCGGACCAGCCGGGCAAGGGCAGCTTCTGGGCGCTGCATCCCAGCTGCGGGGACATGTTCGAGAACGGCAGCTTCCTGCGGCGCCGCAAGCGCTTCAAGGTGCTCAAGGCCGACCCGCTGGCGCCCTCCAAGCCGCCCCCCGAGGCCGCCCACTACCTGCAGGCCCAGGCCAAGCTGCGCCTGGGCGCCCTGGCCGCCGCCGCCGCCGCCGCGCCCCTCGGCCCCTACGGCCTGCCCGTCCCGCCGCCCTCGGGCTTCAAGCACCCCTTCGCCATCGAGAACATCATCGCCCGCGAGTACAAGATGCCCGGGCCGGGCGGGGGCGGCGGCGGGGGCGGCGGGGCGCTGCCTTTCTCCGCCATGCCGCCCGGCCCAGCCGCCTACCCGCTGCCCAACCAGCTGCCCCCCGCCTGGCCCCACGTCTACGGCTCCGCCGGCATGCTGGACCCGGCCGCCCCCATCGCGGTGGCCGGCGGGGACTACGCGGCCGCCGCCGCCGCCGCCGCCGCCGCTGCCGCCTACGGGATGCCGCTGAAGCCGCTGTGCCACGGCGGGCAGACGCTGCCGGCCATCCCGGTGCCCATCAAGGCCACGCCGGCCGCCACCGTCCCGGCCTTGCCCGCCCTGCTGCCCAGCTCGCCGCCCTCGCTCAGCCCGCCCTCCACGCAGACGGCGCCCAGCCAAGGCAGCCCCGCCACCCCCAGCGAGACGCTCACCGGGCCGCCCTCCGTCCTGCACGCCGTGGTGGCGGTCCACTGACCCCGGCCGGCGCCGCCCTCCGCCCAGGAACCAGCGGCGGGGCGGGGCGGGGCGGCCGGCCTCCGGAGGGAGCATCCAGGCGCCGCCACCGCCGTCCCCCGTCCCCCCCCGGGGCCAGCCGGCAGTGAGGTGCCCAAGCCGGTTGGGTCTTTGCAGCCAGCCCGTCCCGCCTCTTTGCAGCCGCCGCCGCAGCCAGAAGGACGAGAGACAGCCGGGGCTACGATCCGGACGCGGTTGCGCTCCAGAGGCGAGGCGCGGGGACTTTGCCGAGGCTTCTCCCCTAAGCCACCTTCTCGGAGCGCGCAAGCAGGCAGCGAGGCTGGCTCTCCTCGCCAGGTGGATCGTCGGTCCGCAGCTCCGCCGGTGCCCGCGCGCCTGGCGCCCCTTTCGCCGCCTCCTCCACGTTGCAAGACGGCATTGGCGAGTGGGGAAACGCGGGGAGGGGAGTCGCGCAGGAGAGGATTCGCGCTCGGGGCCCCGGCCAAGCCAGCACCCCCAAAGCCACCGGCGTTGGAAAGCCTCCACTTTGGGGGAGCAGAATCCCACCCGCTGGATCTGGTGGTTGGGACCCGGCCGATTTTCCCTCCCGGTCAGCGCCCACGGACGCTTTCTCGGAAGTCAGTGCCTTCCACCCTGGGGGGTTGACTTGCGAGGAAATCGGGCTACTGCGGCCGGCTAACGGTTTCCCAGCTGGGAACGAGCCCTGAGCACAAACTTGGCTTTTAAAGACGGCGGGTGGGAGTTTGCTTGAAGCGATAAACTTGGACTGGGACGGCCCCACCTGCGGACGAAGCCTTGCCAAGGTGGCACGGCGATTCCCCGGTCCGCCCGTGAGTGTGAGTGTGCGCGCGCGTGTGTTTCAGCCCTTTCACTCCTGCAACGCTTAAAGTTTAATTTCTACGCGAGGAGAAAGCGAGGCTCTGAAGTTGTTTGTCGCCCAGTTTTGGCTCTGCAGGCATTTCCCTCTGTTTTATTTGGGGGGGGGGGGAAACGGGGGCGGCCTGGGGGGGGGGGGGGGGGGAGGGAGGCGCGGAGGCCCCTAAATCTACCCAGCCAAATGGAGCGTCTCTCTTGTTCTCCCTGGAAGTTTTGCAGACAATCCAGGAGAGGGAAATGTGAAAAGTGTCTGTGAACCCGGCCAGTTGTGTCCGTTGCACTTTTATCCTCCTTTTCTCGCCACAGCCAGGGTGCAGCTCCTCCCGCCCCCGTTTTGTGGACTGGCCAAGGGCCCCCACGATAAGGAGGCGCTGCTCCGAAGCTGTGAAAGAAACGGGGGGGGAGGCGGATCTGAGGGGAGTTGGGGGGGCGCATCCAGAGACGCAGAGCCCAGAGAAAAGAGCGCTGTGGGTTGGTTCCGAGGGTGGGTGGGTGGGTTCTTGAAGGGTCGGGCCCGAACGCTTCCTTTCGTTCCCATGTGGATGGTTTGTTATTGTACAGGATGAGCATGATATTTAAAATATGAATGTTCTTGTGAATATCTTCAGCATGCGTGTTTTCGGGCAAAGGTTTGGCTTTTGTTGTTATTATTATTATTATTATTGTTTTTCTTGATATGGTGTTTGGATTGTTGTCGGTTGGGGTTGGGTTTTGTTTGTTTTCTCGCTCTCAAAGTGTCTATCTTTAAATTATGAAACTAGCCGTCCAAATAATATTTTCTCATTAAAAGACGTAAAGGCGGAATAGGTTTTTCTTTTTTTCGGTCGCCTTTCTGAGCTGAAAAGGGAAGGGGTGCCAAGTCGCTTTGCATAAACTATTTCCGTGGGAAGAAGAGGGCCTAAAATGAACGGGGAGGCGGGGGACGGAGGCGGTTCGGGGGTGGGGGGGAAGAGACTCTTTCTGGGGAGAGAACAAGCGAAACAGCCTCAAGAAAGATCTGCGAACCTGATTTGGAGCTTCGGATTTCTGGCCTGATGAGCCGGGGCCGGAGCGCTTGGCTGGAAGGGGAGCGCGGAGTTTTGCGCGGCTTCCTCGCTAAAGCGGGATGAGCCCAAATTCCGGCAGGTTTAGGCAGGGTTGGGTAGACCTTCTGGGGAGTTGGGTTACGCCGCCCAGGAGAGAGAAGCCCGCGAAAGGAGCTTACTTCTGAGCAAGCACCTCCTCGCTATTTAGGACCCCCAAAGACCCCGCTCGAGAGGGAGAGCCCGCTCCCTGAATTGAGGCGCGGAGGATTGGATTTGGATTTGGCGGGATTGGGCCCCGTTTGACGACCCCCCTCGCGCCCTTTGTCTTCCCCAGGCGCTCGTTCGCCCTTCGGGAGGCAAGAGGTCAACAGGAGCGTCGGGGGTCTCGGGGAACGGAGGATTCTGCCGGGCGCTGCCCAATCCAGCCCCGCGCGCAAAGTTTCCCTCTCCGGGTGAAAGGCAGCAGCGACCGCGGCGTGGGCCCTCCGAGGTCGCTGGGGCAGTTCCTCCCCGGAGAAACCGGTCCAGGCTTTAGCCGGAGGCGGCGGCTACTTTTTCCTCGCCGCGATGGAAAAGGGAATAAAAAACAGAATCCTAAGAGAATAGCGGACTCTGGGGCTTGGCTGGCATTAATCGCAAAGCTTTTAACCAAAGGATCCCCCTTTCCGGCTGTGGGTCTGTGGGGCGGTGGGTGGGCTCAAGACTGAAGCCGCCCCCCCCCCCATTTACTCGGAAGTAAGCGCAGTGCGCCTCCCGAAGGGGCCTCCGCAGAGGGAATGAAGAGGGGCCCGTGGAAAGGGACTCTGCGCCCGACTTCAAGCGCCGCCTTGGAAACGGGGCCCCCACACGCCGCCCCCCACCCCCCCTCAATGTAAACATGGGAGATTTGTTGCGTGGCTGCTTGCGGTCCAGAAGAGGGCGGGGAGGGGGAGGGGCGCGAGTTTTCTAACGGGCCCGGCCGGGACCCCAGGCCCAATTCGCCTCCCACTCCTAGAAGGCAAAGGGCGGCCTGTGTAAATACAACGCGCCATTGAATTAATTAAAATGCACCGGGCCACTAAAGACCGTGCGGGGTGGGCGTGGGGGGGGAGGGAGAAGGGGGGCGAGCCGCCCCATTCATCAAGATCAGCCCACGATTAGACGGCCCTGTTCAGGCCAGGGGAAGCATCCGCGACGGAGTCCGAGGTGGGTGTGGGGGAGGGGAGGGGCGAAGAAAGCGAAAGAGAAGGGGTGGGTGTGAAAAAAAAGGCGCCGTGGGCCCCCCCAGCCCACCTCCCCAGAGTTAATCCAGCGGATAAATCCCGTCCCGAAAGGAAACCAAGGGGCCCGATCCAGAAACACCCCACCCACCCCCGAACTGAACCAAATGGCAGCCCAGCTGACTCCTAAGTAGGCCTGGCCTGAAGACGGGCTCAGTCGCTGGGTTGGGAGATTGTAGCCCAGTCACGCTTGGCGTTCGGGAGGGGGGGGGGCGCCCCGAAGCCCAGAAGAGGGGGAGGGGGTCCTTTTAAATAAACAGGGAGAGAAACTGGCAGGCCGCCACCCCCGGCAGACGGAAGGGGGGGCGTGGACGTCTGGTATTAGTTTGACCTGCGGAGCAAACTTGGCGGTGGGCAGTTTTTTCCTCTTCCCCAGGATCCGCTTCCCACCTTGCCACTCACCGCCCCCCCACCCCCAGCCCCAGGAGAATGTGGCGAGGCCTTCCAAATCAGTGGCCCAGCGGGCTTACTCTGGAGGAAACAGAGGAGCGCTTGCACGATCCCTTCACTTGTCGGGGCAGGGCAGCCTGGCCAACAGGTGCGCTCCACACTTTTCTTGAGACACTATCAAGTCCGTCTTCTCTGGATCGCGCTGCGAGTGCCCAGCAAAAGGAGGTTCCCTGCGTCTGGCCGGCCTGACAAAAATGGGCAGGTTAGCCTGCGGAACTCCGCGCCACTTGACTTGGTTTTGCCTCCAAGCGTCTCTCTCTCTTTCCCCCACCAGGCGCGCTGGCGGCTGTTCCCACCCAAACTTTAGGCGTTGAGCGTGTTATCAGAATTCGACTCTTTTGGGGAACGGCGGTTATTTTAGAAGCGAAAGGGAACATTTTTTCTTGTCAAAAGGCGCCTGATTCTCCCGAAGGCCCCGAGCACCTGTTTGCACCCGGAATTTAGACCCAACCGCAAAAAAAAAACCAAAAAAAAAAAAAACACCCACCCAAAACAAAACAAAAACCGCGGCGAAAAAGAGGCTGGTTTTATCACTTAAATTAAACGAACAAACAAAAAAACAAAACTCTGAATACGATTAGCCCGCAAGTCGTGGGAGAAGCCAGCCGACTTTCTTCCGCAGCCATAAATAAATAAACACGAGAATTAAAATGCCTTTTAATAAAGGAAACTTTCCATCTGTTTCCCAAAGTCCTCGCTGGCTTTCAAAGCCGCTGCACAATTTTCGGGATTACTTGAAAGGAAAAGAAAAGGCGCCCCCAATTCAACGCCCCCCCCCCGGCACCGGGGCCGAGAAGAGGGTCTTGGGGTGGGGGGCAGATACGAAGGGGCCGAAACGCCGGGCTGGGAACCCAAGGAGGAAGGGACGGGGGGCGTATTTGTTTCTTTTAAACTAACAACAAATTATCTAATTAATATGTTTCAATTACAGCCTGTGGAAAGGCGGCTTTGGACCGCCCGCCGGGGGAGCACAATGGCTTTCCAGCCCTGGACAATAACTTCACAGCTGTTTCTTCCCTCCCCCCCCTCCCCCCTTCTCAGATCTCCTGGAAAAATGGGAAAGGAGTGGGGGAGGGAAGAGGGAAAAGAGACCAAATAGATTTATTTATATAAACTCCCCTTTTCCGTTTCAGCCTCGCTGCAGACCAAAACTGCAGCGCCGGGCAAAAATATATATATATTTTTTTTAAAGATTAGCAAGCGGGGTGGGGAGCGAAAAAGAAAGAGAGGGAAAGAGAAAAAGCAACCAAATGCTTTATTTGTCCCTCCATTCCCCCTCCTCGAGTTTCTTCTCTCTTCACTCCGGGCTTCATTTGCAAAAAAAAAAAAAGAAGAAGATGAGAATTCCCCCCCCCCCCCCCCCCCCCCCCCCCCCCGCCCGTCCCATCCGCGCCACCCCCGCTGAAAAGCATTAAACAAATATATTAGAACCCTGTCACTTTCTCCAATTGACTAGATCAAACCCAGCCTCT